GCAGAGATGTTGCTAGGGATATGCGAGCAGCAGAGAGGAGAGCCGCTGAGCCCCTCCCTGCCCCACGGAGCCTAGTGGCGCCCGGAACCCCTGGGGGAGGAGCTGTCTGTCGTGAGCTTTGGGGTGTGTGCATCTAGGAGCCACTCAGGGTGACCAGCGCTCCCCCCAGTTTATCCCACCCAAGACCAACCCTGAGCTCAGGCCCCAGCGCCAGCTCCCCTGGATCACCTTTTCACACTCAGCCGCAGCTGCCCTTTCGGTCCTCCTCCACACACCTGCTTCTGCTGCCAGCGCTCATCCTCTCCGCTGAGGCCTGACACTCACTGCTCCTTCCTCTGCCCCTCCCTGATCTAGACCCCCACCTGCCCCAGCTGCTCCAACACCGGCCCCCTGCCCTCCATCCGGGAGGCTTCCTGTGCCCACCCTGCATCCCGCGCCAGCTGAGGGCTGCCCCCAAGTGCTGCATTAGCTCCTCAGCTCACCTCTGCACCTGCACCTGTGTCTCCTCTGCCCTTTCTGGTTCCTACTTCTCAGGCTTGTGGAGGCCCGACTGTGGGACCCTCACCCAGACCTCCACCCTCCTGCACTCTGTCCCGCGTTAGGATCCTTCCCCTTGGTGGTTGCTGCTTCTAGGGCCCCAGTGGAAGCTCTCCTGAAGCCAGACTCCATAGCACCAGTCCCCACACACAGGGCTGCACATGCCCAGCCAGTCACCAGTTCAGCAGCCTCACTGAGCCCGCATGACAGGCCAGTGCCACTGGGGGTGCTGGGGAGGGAGCATTAACAAACAGGACGTCTGCCTTGGGTGCTGGCAGGAGAAAAATAATGGAAAGGTTCATTGGTCGCGCTACGAGGAGGTGCAGTTCTGCTCAAGGCTGAGGTCCAAGAGGCTGGCACAGCTGGGCAGGTGGCAGGGACGGAGCCTGCCGAGTAAGGATGAAGAGGGTGGAGTTTCCGTGGAGGCTGAGGGGGTGGGGCAGAAGGGGAGAGGCCTGTGTGCACCCCAGGGGCCCATGACCAGTGTATTCCAGGCACCCCGGGAGCGGGGTGGGAGCAGGGTGAGCAGACAACTTCCAGAGGTGACTACACTGCTGCTGCTGCCGCCGCTGCCCACAGCAGGGCCCTGGGTCTGGGTCTGGGTCTGGGCCTGGGCGCCGACCTGAGATGGCAAAGGCTGCAGGCAGCCTGGTCTGTGGGGAGGAGGAGGGACGTCAGGTCTGGCTAGGGACATCACAGCTGGAGGACACCAGCTGACTGTCACAGAAACACCAGACAGGGACCTGCAAAGCCATCGGAGTGGAGGAAAAATGTGGGTGTCATCAGCATACGGGCTCTGCAGCCCCGGAGGTGAGGTGGAGAGAGGTGAGGGGAGAGGGGAAAAGGCCAAGGGCAGACCCCAGGGGGCCCAGCATTGAGGGACTGAGGGGTCCAGGAGGAGGAAGATAGCTCCAGGCAAGAGGAAGTAAGCAGTGATGCTACCAAGACCCACGCCCCCGGGGCGGTGAGGGAGGGGGCGGTGCCCCTGACGTTGCAAGGAGCTGCAAAGGCAAAGGCAGGCTCCAGCAGAGGAAGAGAGGAGGGAAGGGCGTGTTGAGATGGGAGAGATGAGAGCCTCGTTTCTATTCTCTCGTGAGAAGACGGCAAGACTTCACCCTGGGAGAACGAGGGAAGAGAGCACAGGGCGCGGCTCTGGCAGTGGCGGGCTGTCGAGGACAGCGTCTGCAGTTGTGGTGGGAAGCTGCTGTGTGCAGAGGGGCTGCGCACCTGGGAAATGCCACCGTCCAAAGCCTGATGCCACTGTCGGCTCAGGCCTCCGCCTGGAGCCTCCGCCCACTGGAAGCATTTCCGGTGTGGGCTCCATACAGTCCTGGAAGGGCGTCCCCGCCTCCACGCACAGCTCAGTACCTGTGGGAGCTTCGTGAGCAGGAGACTCCGCAGGTGAGCTCCACAGGGGGGAAGCTCTCCATGACTGAAATCCAATGTCGCCGGCTGGGGTTAGTGAACCATCAACTCCCCAGGGTTTTGTCTTTTGGCCTTGCATAAATAGCTGAGATTCCTTGGAGCTAGGAGCGTGGGGACTTCTGTTCTGCACAGCTTTGTCAACAAGACGGTCTTCCTCCTGACTGACTTCCAGGTAAATAGGTGTGCAGGGTCAGAGCGTAACCCTGCGGCTAAGGCGCAAACACAGCAGCGTTTTTAAAGCAAGCTGCTGTCTCCTGTATCTTTTCCATGTTGGTCCTCATCCTCCCTAGCAAGGCCTACAACAAGCTCATGGAAGGTTTCTGCCTCCCCACAGCAGCCTCCCGCATGAAAGGTCACTGGATGTCACCACTAGCAGGGCACCAAGAAGGCAGAGACACCCCTGACCACTCACCTGTCCTGTTTGTTTTGGAGTCAGCTTAAGCCTAGAGCTGCCAGCAAATTCTACTCAATCCCTTTTCTTGCATGGCTCCTTTTAAGAAGACATCCGGGTTATGCAGGGAAAATCCGTGCGCGTTGGGAAAGTCCACTTTCCTAGACGGCATGTAGCCTTCCCGGTTACTGATTGTAGCTTCATTGCCATCAAGGTATTTCAAGCTCTGTAGACGGTGGGGCTGCTGGCCATGCGCATGACTGCACGGCAGGTGCGACGGGAATGCTGCCCGCTGCAGGGCTCCGCCTCCCCACGGAAAAGCCGGTTCTCGGGTGTGCACCTCAGCACTCCACACGTGTGCTCTTGAGCTTGTCCTCGGGACCGGTCACAGCCAGAGTCCACGCTGTGTCTGCCTAAGAGTTCTGCTTTTCACCTTGGCTTTTCCTTTTTTTAAGCATTTTTAGCTAAATTTCTTTAGTCAGTGCACATGAGCCGGTCACTCTGAAGCCTTCTTGAAGTGACCACAGACCCAACCATGGTGGCCGTCCCGATATCTGCCTCCCGCCATCCCTGATGCCCACAGGCCTGGCCACTGCACACTTTTTTTTTTTTGGGGGGGGGCAAAGTTTGAAATGAAACTAGCAGCATTCAGAGCAGACTGCTGAGCATTACTGCGACACAGGGGACTGAGAAGGCACAAGAGTAACCCACAGGAAGTTCGCCTCAGAATCTGTGCACGTGCGGCCTTCACCCCATCTGGAGGGGACGTGTGTGAGCCCCTGGGGCACCCTTGGGTGCGCCCAGCACTCTGCCAGCTGCTCTGTTAGCTTCCTGTGCCCCGAGCAGCCTTAGGATTCTCCCCAAAGTAAAGTGTGCCTTGAGGGACAGCGGCTCCATGCCCAGAGGAATGTAGGCAGCCCAGGTCACAGTTCCTCGGCAGTGCTGTGGCCTGCAGCCTTACAGTGTGGCCTTCAAGGTGCACAGTGGTCCCTTTGTCCTCAGCGGCCCTGGTTGTGTCCTGCGATTCACACCGTCCCGAGGGACAGGTCTAACCAGAGCTCGGCCACACTTGTCCTGTTTCCACAGGGAGAAAGCGCTGGGTGCCAGGTTCCCATGGCCGTGAGCGCCTAACGCCTCATCCTTGTGTGCATAGGACTGCCGCACAGGCAGAGCCTGGTTCGGTTTTGATTTTAGAAACTTGGTCCTTGGTGACGCCGCCAGGAGTTATCTTCCTTACTCTGCATAAGCAGTGCCCGTGCAGTCTGGATCTATTTGAGTATGAATCAATTTCTGCATTATTTTGCTGCCCCTAATTTCAAGAAGAAGGAAGAATTTGAATTTGTCGACCTGTCGGCTTTAAAGGCAGGGCTGTGTTAGTCACCATTACTTGCCAGCAGCTTGGTTGTGCCTGGCAGACCGTAGGCACAGGTCAGCGTAGGCCAGAGAAGATAAATCGCAGCTCAGCTGCTGCAGCCACACTCTGAAGGCTTCCTGGGTCAGTCGCCCACTGCGTCTACACAGCAGGATGACTGGCTCAATCCCACCTTGCTGCTGTTAAGAACAGCTGTGAGTGCACACCCACACACCAGGGAGCACCTCACAACCTGTCGATGCATACACAGCAGGCCTAACAGTGGCGACCGCCTAGGGGAAGGTATACGAAAGCTGTTTAGCTGAGCACTTTGGGCTTCTGGAAACAAAAACACTCAACAAAGAAGCGGCTCAGAGAATTAGCGGCTGTTTCTGATACAGAAAGGCTAAAAGACGGGTGATTACCACGTGGCCAGTTCCCGACTTAAAGCGTTACTCAGGGTCCGAGCTGGTGGCCGTGGTGAGCCTGGTTTGTTCTTGTACCTAACTCCGCGCAGTGGCTGCTCCAGCTCAGCGTCTCCACCTGCATCCCCAAACCAGTCGTCTCCCACCACCCTGCCCACGGTGTCCACGGAGCGGCTGCTGAGGGAGGGCCAGGTGGGTGTGGTCAAGTCAGGGCCGTGGAAGAGAAAAGAAATTCTCATGGGGAAGCTTAGGTGCTCGGTGTGGCCCCTGGGAACCCTTCCTTCCTGGTGGGGCGCTCCGCTGCCTTAGCAGTGGTGACAACCCAGGGGAAGAGCGTTCGGCCCTGAGGTCGTGGGAGGGTGAGGAGCTGTCTCTGCCTGCTGTTGTCAAGGGGCTTCCTCATCCCTGCCCAGCCGGCACTCCCTGGGAGGGACCCTCACCTCTTCCCAGCTGCTCCCCGCACCCCCGCCCTGGAGCTCAGGTACCAGGAGCAGGCGGAAGCACTCACAGCAACAGTCTAGCATCCCTCCTTCCGGGGGATGTACAAAGGGGTCTTTATCCATCTGAAACCTGGAATCTGAGTTTAGAATAACAGGCCTTCTCACTCTTCCTTAGGTCAACTGGGACCACAACTGTGGCAGAATAAAAGGGATGGTTAGCTTGCAGTGGAGGCTCAGGCCTATACTCCCAGGCCTATGATCCCTCTTGCTGAGGCAAGAGGATCATAAATTTGAGCCTGGCCTGGGCAACCTAGCAAACTTGTCTCAAAATAAAAAGTAAAAAGGGGCTGGGGTTATAGCTCAGTTCAAAGGCTCTGGGTTCAGTCTTCAGTCCACAGAAGGGGTGGGGGGCGGTCTCAGATCCCAAACCCCAGACTCCCCGCTGTCTGCCACACGCATCAGGCCATTTGTAGTAGCTCTGGAAACACTCCTGGGGCGCCTCTCTCCCAGGCCCCTGCAGCCTGGCCGGGCGCAGCAAGGGGACTTCGTGCTGTTGGCACTCCTGTGCCTGCAGGACCCCTCAGGTCCAGACCAGGCCGCAGCCACGGAACCCAGGTCGCCTGGGCCCAAACGCCGGTCCGAGCCCCTGGCCCCTTCCGTGGGAGCCGGCGGTGGAGTCAGTCTGCTCGGCCGTGGACAGTTGCTCCGTGCTGCGGTTCCAGTTTGTAGTAGTTCAAAGGCCAACACCACGCTGCCCAGAAACCTGCTTTCCTGGGGTTACCCCTGCACTGCGGGACTTGCACTTCCGTCCTTAGCGTCGTTTGCTCCCGCTCGGAGTTTGCCTCTTCCCGGGCGGCGCTGCCCTGCCTGCCTTCTGACTGTGCTTCTCTCCCGCAGGTCTGCCGGCGCCAGCGCCACCTGTGCCCGGGGCCGTACCGCGGAACCCTCTTTGCCGACCAGCCCCCGATGTTCATCTCGCCGGCCTGCAGCCCCCCCAGGGCCAAGCTGCGCGAGCTGGTGCTGCTGAGCGGGGGCCAAGTCAGCCGGGGCCCGCGCCGCGCCCGCGTCCTCATCGGGCCCCACCGCGGAGCGCGCAGGC